ATATTCGGCTCGAAGCGAATTTATTCGGCGAATTCGCCGAACCGAATTTTTGAATAATTCGCTCATCTCTACCCAAAGCTTGCATCAGCAGATGCTTGAACATTCATCTAAAACTTAAAGAATGCTTAAGCAAAAGACTTGGTGGCAGCCTTACAAATTTGGGAAACCAATGCTTGGAACTGGAAAGCACAGGAATAGTTCACTGATCTAGAAAAGTTACATCTTGATTGAAAATTTTGAAACTATGAAGATGTTTGAGTAGAGACCTTCAAACCTTTCAGCTTCAGGAACCATGACAATAATTTCTTGTACTAGGAGCTCTGCCAGGGCAGCATGGACACCCGATGCAGAGAGCTCAAAATAATTTACAACATGTATCAGGCCAGAGGCAGTGTTCTTTGGCTATCATACACAAAAGCAAGGTATTGGAGAGTGCCAAATGTGAAACCCAGTGAACATATCACATTCTGGGCAGTCTTCACCTCAATTGGAGGCATAGTTCCAAGGGAATGTTCAGGGATCAGGATCATACCTTGGACCAGTGAAGTGATCAGTGGATAACAAACCAGGGTGCTCGGTGTCTAACGAGAGCAACACATGCAGAGCCTAATGTCCAACAGCAGCATTACAGATTAGCCTTGCAATCTTAGTTCTGTGAGGTTTTGGCATGACCTCTAAGTGGCACCAAGAATCAGCCAATGCATAGCTGCAAATAGAGCCCAGCTCTGTAGTGTTACAAAGGTAACTTTATCTTGATAAAAAATATAAATATTAAGTAAAAATGGGTGAGCTTTTCTTCTAAAACAAAAGATGTCAATCCTAAAACACTAGGAAAAAAAAACAAATCATCATGGGAGTGAGAGGGGTTAAATTTGGCTGGCCAGTGGCTTTTTTGTTTTCTAGTGTCAGTATAACCTAAATGATCACATGTGCCTTGATGAACGATTAAAAACAGTATTTTTTCATGCACATGACTGGATGATTTTGGGGAGTACAACTTTACCTCATTTACTAAACTCAGTTAACATTCACTTTACTAAGTGACTATTCTCTACTCCTTTAGTTACGGAACCCTAATGTGTGATGGAAACAGTGTAATATTTTAATAATATACGACTATATATTTGCAATGCTGATAATATACTTTTTTCCCCAATGAAGCAAATTGGACCATGCTTTTTTGGAGAGTTTTTTTTGCCCTTCCTTGCCTTTTAGTGGGTGATAGGGGGGGTTGGCAATAAAGCAAACTGTTTGCCACGGAAGGTCTACTAGCAGCTAAATTTTCTTGCATTGTTTAAACTTTAGGACTGCATTATTATTATACAGTATTTATATAGCGTCAATGGGTATGCTCAGTGCTGTACAGTAGCAGGGGGGACATAACATGAGACAAGACAGTAACAATGCAAAACACGAGGGGTTTGAGGGCCCTGCTCTTTCGAGCACATGAGTCTAGGTCCATGTAGGTTCTCTTTAGGCGAAGAACTTGAAAAACAGGGATTGTAAATAGCTACACCATGGACCAGGTGCCAGCTTGATCAAAGAACGTGTGATATTTAAAGTACAACTAATGGCAAAATAGAGTGGAGAGAGATTTGGACACCTGCCAGGCTTTTATTGTTGTCTGTGCCCCTGTTAGGGAGATTCACTTTCTCTATTTGTCAAGGTTACTGTTATCATGTAAACTGAAAAAAAATCCCAAATTTTGGGTTGTCCTCAAAACAGCATTAGAAGGGAAATATTCCAATGGGGACACTAGTTCTGATGACCCTCATTTTGAAGGGATTTCCTTTCACTTCCTGTTTTGGCTATGGGGCAGAAATTGAAGGGAAATCTCCCCAATGGAACACAGATGGCAAAATAATGTTATTATTTCATGCATTGCTGTTACACAGAAGAATGCTTATAAGTATGTGTAGTGACATGCTGGCTACAGAGCATATACTTTGCCATGATAATATAATATAACATAATATTTTACCCAATGGTAAATCTAATAGTCGATGGAAACTTAAATGACATTTGGCTGGTTCCATCAATTATTCATTTTATAAATTATGGTCTAATTATATAATTATGCATCTATTTATAAACTCATTGAACACACAAGTAGTCAATTAATATACCCATTTTTATATTTACTAGAGGGAATAGTTATATTATTTTTTTTTATTAAATATTCTTTTATGGTTAGTAATTTTTTTCTTTTATCTAGATCATATTGCTCCACCCCAGGATTAACAATCTTGGACATAGTAGTACTGATGAGCATTATTGTATTATTGCATTTTCATAATAAGATAAGGTTAATGGACTAAATAATAATATTTTGTACATTCATGACAATAATAAGAGATGATTCAGAGTAAGAATATAATGCTATTTACATTATAGGCATAAACTCTAATATAGCTTTGTAATGCCTGCTGCTTAAATGTTCTACATTTATAAGTCAATATGGCTTTGTCTAGTTAGCACCTCTTTTGTACTGTAGCAGTTTACAGTACCATTGATTTGTTGCCGTTGATTTCTTATTTTGGTATTTTGAGATGACATCGGTGTTGTCTTGAGAGGGGATATTTGTTTTTGGTCTTTTCTTAGTCAAGCCTAAGTGCTCGGTGCCTGATACAAAATGTGAACCAGATCCTCACACCATTCCTCTTTATTAGTAACAGCTGTCATACTCACAGCTGCCTCATACAGTATAACGAAATCATGAGCATAGAAGACTAGCTATTAAGTACATAATGATGATGTTTCCGGTAATTTAGCTAGAGTCAAGCAATCCTGAATTTAACTGGTGATACACTTGATATGTTTGTCACCCATTCTGGCTAATTTCTGCTGGATCTGCCTGATTTCATATACAGTATATGACAGTACCAGACACCTCCAGGTTGACTATTTTAAATTGTAAAGAGAGATTGCATACGTTTGAAAACTCTTTTTATAATTTTCCCAATAAAAGCTGAAACCTGGAGCTGTCTAATTGCTTTTCTTTCCTCTCTCCTCTCCAAACAGTAAATTATTTTAAAATAAGCCATCACTATTCCTTGTACCTGCAAGTAAGGTGAAGCAATTAATCCTCAAAGTTCACAGCGGAAGAAATAAGTACATTTTTAAGTGTTAGCTAGCCAGTAGATTGTGCCTTAAAAATGTATTACCCTTATACAACTATGGCTAACGTGGGTTACCAATGTTACTTTGTCAGGCAACTGACTTTGATTTCATCTGTCAATTGCCATTACAATTTAATTAAAATAATCTGCTGCAACATATACAAATATTTAAGCCATATTACATCAATACAAATACTTTTAATGCATATGCTTTTAGAGGAAAATATACCTGACTGTCAATTCCAAGCATCAGCAACATGGAAAAGAAGAGAACAGCCCATAGGGGAGAAATCGGCAGTTGTGTGACAGCTTCCGGGTAAGCCAAAAATGCTAATCCAGGTCCTAAAGGAAAAATGCACATATCATTTTTATAATAGGTTGGATGATATTGTTCATTTTTAGAGCACACATTGGATTTTTTTAAATAAAAGAGTGCAAGGACATTGGTAATGAATAAAGCAAAATATCCCAAAACTGATTTCACTTCCTGATGACATATTAGAGAAGAAATAATTATCATTGTTTACTCTACTTACTGTATCATTTTCCTTTTAAATAATTCTGGTACTAATGGCATACTTTATTCCCAGAAACAAATATTAGCCTGGACTCTTAAGTGTTAATCTAATAGCTATTGCTCTAGACCTAATATCCACAACCACTGCTACTCCTCTGTATCTAACAATCTAATCTACTGCTAACAACCCATCCCACTACCAGCAACTCATGACGCCTCCTCCTCACTCCTCGCCAAGTCCTATAATCTCACAGAATGTCCACTTTACCACTAGAGAAGTGGTTTAGCAAAATACAGTTTTTCCTCAAGTAATGTAAAAGTTGCCATTTAAGCCCTTTAGAAGCAGCTGCAAACTCTGGCACCTCATTTCAAATGCAACCAATGTCTACCAATAATAGAAATGCAAGCTCAGTTAGTATTGATATACATACCTGAAGCTGCCACTTGTGCTATTGATCTTTTGGTCACGTGTGCCATGAATCCAACGATGGAAAAGATGACGAAACCAGCGAACATACTTGTACCAGAATTAATGCAGCAGACAATGATTGAATCCCTAAAAAAATTGTAATCTCTCGTTAGCTGTAATATTGCAAATTTAAGCTCCTGCTTAGATGCAGCTGCAACTATTAAATGAACATAAAACCTACTGTAGCCATGTACGGGTCTACAGCAACATGGAGAAGAAGGCAATACCCTCTGTTTCTCTACTTTTAACTGTAATGCAAATGTTATGCTGCATTATCCCCTCCAACCAGCAGAGAGAGAGCCACAGTTCTGTCAAATCCATAGGCGTCTATGCAGAGCACTGGTAAATATGAATGTTTTAGTTGGAGACTTCAGCCATACAGTGTTGCTAGTGGGCTCTGTACACTACAATTCCCAGGATGCACTGAGGAGCAGGGGGAGTGATGAGATAGCTTTTTCTCTTTTTTTCTTGGTGCCATGGACTCAGGGAGTGCACATTTGTAGCCAGGATTAGACTGTTTCCAGTCTACCCATTCTTACCCATTCTGCACCTATATTTCCTGGACTCTGCATCTGTGTCAAATCCACTGCATCACTATCACTCTACACTGCATTCTGGTTTGTTAGAACTGCTGAAAAAAGGGCCCCAATGATAGCCGGCAGAAGAGCAATCTAAAGGATGGCCCTCAGCCCATTGTTTCTGTTAAATCACCCTACATACCCCTTTGTTCCTCTACTAATAATACCATTTGTTCATCTTCAAATAATGAACTTTTCTAGCGTATCCATCGTTAATGTATTCTGGCAGTATAGCCTCTAAACTTGGTAATGTTAGTAGGTTTTATTACTGCTCTTTGCTGCATCTGCTGTGCTATTGTTTATGCTGATCTGGACACCAAATGTTATTATATGCTTAGTTCTTACCACTCATCATTACTTATACTAAGGGTGTTACTATTTTGTTGATTCAACCTTATATTTGTTTGTTACCAACTTTGTTTAGTGATAGTGATTTTCAGTGGCACTGGCTGTTTATAACTTTAACCTAGTGAGGGGCTTAGTTTAAGGAGGTTGAGGCTAAAAACCAGGGACCTATTCTATCCAGAGGCTCCATATGGTGCAGCCGTGCATGGTAGCCAGTCAGCATCTCATTTCAGCTTGTTCGATTAAGCTTTGGCAGTAAAACCTGGAAGCTGAATGGTTTCTATGCAGAGGTGCACTAGATTTTACAGTCTCCAGTTTTAGTAAATAAATATGCATTGGTTGACAACATTTAAAAAACCTTGCCTAACTGGGCGATACTAAAGTTACAAAGTATAAAAATAAAAATCAATAATAAAAAATTTAATTAAAGATCTTAAAGAACTTGTAGTTTCAAAGATGTATTATTTTAAACTTATCTATATAACTAGTAAGTCTGTTCGTTGCCTGTAAACCTTAATTACAATTCAGTTTATAAATAAAAGCAATTACTATGATTTACAGTCAGAGTAACATTTACATATTTTGCTACAAATGTTTCAAAGGCTTATCAGAACTGAACATAAACAACATAGATGTGTTCTTGTAAAAGGAGGAGCATTTTCTATGCATTGGTTACTTGCTTGTACAGAAATCCAGTTGGTCTGGAAGTGTTTTGTGTGGAGTAATATGGTATGAATGGCTAATTATATAGAACAGGTATTACTGTTTGTCATACTGTTGGGAGGCTGGGCTGTAACAATTGTGAGTAAAAAAAGAACTTGATTTGTTAGTCAGTGGGTTTGAAAAATAGCCCTGGATTGTTGGTCAGTGAGAGCAAAAAGAATCCCCAGCATCATTATGCAGTGTGACTTAAAAATTATCCTGCAGTGTTGACCAGCGGGAATTAAAATGTTTCTGCATTCTTATTTGGCAGGTGTAAAAAATTCCCTTGCCTCATTGATAAGGGGACTACAATTGCTCCTACTTTGTTGGTCAGTGGGAGTAAAAACAATGCCCCTGCATCATTGATCAGTGGGAGTAGAAAAAAATGCTGCCTCTTTGTTGGTCAGCAGATGCAAAAAATTCCCCATGTGGTATTGATCACTAGGAGTACAAAAAAAAAAAACCTTCCTCATTGATCATAAAAATTATTCTCCTTTGTCGGTAAGTATGAGTTAAAAAAATTAACTGGCATAAGTGATCATTGGAAGTAAGAAAATGCCAGGACCAGAACAACATATGTAAATGTCCATGCAGGGAGGGATTGTGCTCCTTCATTAGTCTCAGTGGGAGAAAATAATTATCTATTGTTTGTGTCAGTGGGAGGATTAGCTCCCCAGGGTTAGTGTCAGTTGGAGGAACAGAGCTTTATGGTTTGAGTCCATAGAGGAAATGGTGCCCAATGATTGATGTCAGTACCCTATCATTGTTGCCAGGGAGAGGAATAGTTTCCCATTATTTCTGGATGGCAATGGGATTTGGAAAGCCTATCCCAGCACTGTTGTATAAGGGTTATTCACCTTTGAATACACTCAATGGAACGATCCACTCCTGACCAGTTGACATCATTGCTTGAACTATGCAGGCACCATTGGGAAAAAAAATCACTCCTTCTGACTACCTAGGATACATTTCCTGGTGCTGTAATGCCTTGCAGCATGCAATAAGATGACCTGCATGTTGGCCATAGTTTGACGACCGTCATTACAAAATGCTGGACTACAATAAAGCCTTACCAGTGATTTTGAACATCAGTTAATTAAGATATCCAGATTAATGTCTTTAACATATTGACTACTGTTGTAGGAATATAGCTATATACTTGCCTGTAAACATTATTGTGGAATGAGTTGTAACTTCCAAGGGCAATTAGTGACCCAAGTCCCAGTCCATACGAGAAGAAGATTTGGGTAGCAGCATCCAGCCACACCTGCAACCAGGACAATGACAAAAAAGCTGTTGTACATAAACAGAATTAGGACTCAGTGAGCACTTATGACAAAAATATGTGTGTTACCCCAGAATCGGACAATTTGCTGAAATTCGGAGTGATATAAAATAGGATCCCATCCTTGGCTCCAGGTAAAGTCACTCCACGGAAAAACAAAATGACCAGCATGATGTATGGGTAAGTGGCGGAGAAGTAGACAACCTAAGAAAGAACATTTTTGTTTATTGCCCTGAGAATATTTATTTCAACATAAAAAAAACCCTAAAACCAATAGGGGTGCACTTTACAATTACGCTAAGTGCTCTGCTAGTCACTTCAAATAATTCAATTAACATGAATGTGTTAAAAAAAAACCCAAGAGGAGAGCCCAGTCATGTGGCCTGTCAAAGTTACGTGACCTACCTCTCCTTAAGTCATGGAATTTTCTATGCTTCGTTAATCACCTTACTACTGCCATAACGTAAACAAATGTCAGGTAGGTGGACTTAATCTGAAGTGCTGTTTCTAAATGGCAATGTAGGAAACACAGATGGCCAGCCACTGCACCTTTAAATCCTTTTGATCGTGTTGCCATTAGACAGCACTGATCACTGGCAAAATGCATAGAGCATATCAGAGTGGATGTATGCTTTGTGATTGCTGTGTTTACATTTGGGAGCTCCCCCCTTCCTCTCACAATAAAGAAATAGGAAGAATGAGGTTTGCGGCCTGATGTGAGGATGAAAGAAAGGAGAAGAGGAGAAAGGCAGCAGCAGAGGAAGGCTCCAAGGTGGGGTTGGAGGGGGTTAAAATGCCACTGGGCCCCATTGATTGTGGATCCTTTTTTAAATATGGGGAGTTTAAAGTGTCAATGACCACCATTGATTGGGGGGAGGGTTATACAGTATGCCATTTACCACACACATAAAAACATCTATATACAGTATATACTCTATACTGGTGTGGCCAGCACACAATGCCTCTGATCGTGCTGTTATTAGGCAGCGGAGAGCATAGGCAAAATGCACAGAGCTGCCGCTTGTGATTGCTGTTCTAGCCAATCACAGTGATTACCTGTGTAAATGGTACAATTGCTTATACTAAGAACTAACTCACAATGGAGGAAGGAGGAACTGATGAATGAATTAGTCATTCATTAGTAGCAGTTTACAAGCAGCATCAAATTCAAGCTATTCATTTAAATGTGGGATAATTTTTAACTCTTTTACCACCAGGGGCGGACTGATCATTTGAAAACTCGGCACTGCCCGAGGGCCCAGGGTCATTAGCGGGCCCCATGAGATGCCCCTGGTACCTTTTTCATAGGCTTTTTTGAGTTTGGGCAAGGACACAGGGGCCCCATGATCCCCTATTGCCCAGGGGGCCCCATGAGTTGTCAGCCTGCCCCTGTTCACCACCCACCACTTCTTTACATCTCAGCTCCTTCCTGACTTGTATAATAATCCTTACCACCCATATCCTGCACATCCCTCTTCCCCCACCCTCCCACTGTATGTGACCCGTACCCAAACACCTTTACTTCCTCCTCCCTCTGTGTATGATCTGTACAGTAATGATGCCCTGTATCTAATGCACCATAGAGGAAGATTTATTAAGCTTCCCCAGCTTCATGTTAGAGCTGCACAACCTCTGATCACCAGCGGATGAACACACAACACGCTGCTTGTCACTAACGCCTGTTTGATCTGAGTCTTTGAGCGCAGGAGATAATGGATCTTTGGTGTCTAATGCACCATAACCAAGCTCCATGTTTTAAAGGCTTCTTCACCCAGCACTAATTTTTTCATGTAGACATGTAGACAGAATCATCTTTTTTCCCAAAAGATACTGGTGGTAAAATATTTGCTAAGTTTCCAGTGTGACTAATGATGCATCTCCTCCTATAAATGAAATATTGGTCTGGGGTGGAGTGATTGTTTAAAGGCATTGCTCTATAGTAGCATACAATATTAGGAAATAAGAAATACAAAGCAAGCATATTACCAACTTGTAAATAGGGCTGGGACAAGGGGTGGGTGGGAGGGGCAGCTGTCCTGGGTGCAACGGTCTACTGTAGAGATGGGGAAGCCTTCCTTCTGTTACAAGGCTGACAAAAATAGCAGCATAACTACTCCTGTTAAACTAGCGCTGAGATTGTTGAGGGGATAGCTGGGAGGCGGTGAGGGCTGTGTTCTCTCTACCCCTCCTTCTTGCCTCTTGTGGTGGGTCTGCGTTGGAAAAACTACATACTTCCAGGTCGGTGCAAAACTTGACTGGCAGATCAGGAGCTGCACAGTGATTTTGACAATTGACTGCTGTGCATGGGATCCTCTTAGCTTGCACATCGAGAATCAAGGGGTGGGGCGCATTTTGGCATCTTTGCCCTGGACCCTGGATGACCATGTACTGGCACATCTTGTAAATATTCAACTTTTTTTTTTAAAGTAAACTACAAAGCTACACAAAAGATACCATACAAATCTTTCAAATAGAGAGTTTGACTCTCCTAACTGTTCATCACTGATATTACATTTTCAGTGGAATCTGTCTCCTTCTGGCAATTATTGTTATCATTCTCTTTAAACCAGCAGCAGCATTTTGTAAGGTTCAGCCTAGACATTGACTTGAACATTCAAGCAATATTACATGATGTCACCTAAGTGCTGCTCATATTTATTTAACTAATTTTATGTAACAGAGCAGTTGCCTCAATACTGTGTCTTTTTTTTTTGCAAATATCTCAAAAGCTGCCAAAATATTTCCAGTAATTGAACTTCTTGGCTACTAATTGCATAGACTTTTTGGATCAGCAATACATTTGGGAGTAATTGCCTTACCTTTCCTGTCCAGCCAACTCCTTTCCAGATGCAAAAATAGACAAGCACCCATGCAATAGCCAATGTAATAGCTAATGGCCATCTAATTTGGCCTGGTTTCTCTAAGCCATCTGTCATCTGGTGCATGTTCCGTCTGAAAAATAGCAAAATTAATAAATTAATAAAAAACCAGACCTTTTAAACTAGTCAACCACCAAAAAATCAGGACTTTTACCAGTTCAGCTCAATAATAATACCTTCATTTACAACCAACCATCAATCTAGTTTTGCATGGGAAAGCTCATTTATTATGAATTATTTAGGCAAAGAGCCCAGGAATTATCACCTCACTGCATCAAAAGGAATTTTTTTCACTAAAGAAACAGATATAACAAAATGCTTTTAGGGCTCAAATATATAGTCAAAAAGCAGCATCTTTATCAGTACCATTTTTTTTAGATGTCAACACATTTCTGTTATTTTTCTAGGGCCCGTGCAGACAGTGAGTAAAGATCAGCAAGGTTGTGCTGCTTTCAGATCCATAAAATGAAACAGAAAAATCTGCATCCGTGGTCAGTAATTTTTGCATATAAACACATTATTTAATTTATTACAGATACTTACTGTATATAGTGCTGTCAATTTTCACAGTACCTTATATACAGTATATACTGTATATTCATATAAGTCCCTGCCCTCAAGGAGCTTACAATCTAAGGTCCCTAACACTCATGCATACACATACTAGGGCCAATTTAGACAGGAGCAAATTAACCTACCAGAATGTCTTTAGAGAGTGGGAGGAAATCCTCACCGGCACAGAGAGAACATGCAAACTTGCTGTAGTTGTGATTTGAACTGGTAGTGCTGTGGTTGGGATTTGAACTGCCAACCCTAATGCTGTTAGGTGATAGTGCTAGCCATTGTGCTGCCTACATTAAACATATACACATAAATGTAACCTCTTGTCACCCACCTAATGAATATGTTCGGTGGCAAAGAGGGTGGTCTTTAATGTCTAGACACCATACATATGCATCCATGGGTGACAGAGGTTTCTGTGCTGGGAGCATGCTTACTGCATGCTCCTGCACAGTGATCATGCTACCAAAGACACCTTCCAGTCTCTAGTAATGATCGCGAGTGGGCAGAACCAGATCTTTATCATGTAACCACTGTGACAGTCAATCACAGTGGTCACATGTGTCACATGATTAGGCAGATCTTTCTGCCCCCTGGGAGTAATAGCCTAGCTAATGGGATGATGGGGATGGGTGGGAAGGAGTTAAAGAATGGAAGTAGAATTTTATACGTCTGAATGCTGTATGAATGCTTATGCCTTTATACACGTGTAGACATAAGCACTTTATAGACCATTGCAAGCATTTTTTTAATATGCAGCATAACATTTTTCTTTCAGCCTCTGCCAGCAAGATCTTAGGTAGATGATCACTAATTTCATTATGGCCCTGTGACTGGTATATTTAACAAGGGTTTACAAACACTTTAAATGCCAATCAGTGACTTAGTGGTTAGCAGCAGAACCCTGTATAAAACCAATCAAAAAGCTGGACAGACTAGTTGGATAAAACAGCCAGCAGGGACTAAAGAGACAATGAATGACCCACATACAGAGACAGGCACATGAAAATGCCATTTATAAAGACACAAGCAAGGTAAGAGGGATGGAAGAGACTGGCACAGCTGTGGAACTAAGAGGATCTTTCTTCTCAGTTCACACATGCAAAGTACTGATTCTGTCAGATTATACAATATGCAAGCCCATAGGGGGGAGATGAGCCTATTAAAACCTTTGCTTGAAATGACAATAGTTCAGAACACCTATTGATATAGTTTGCACATAATGGTGCAATACTGTACAGATACATTCCAGTCAAAAGTGAATATTTGCATATAAATGGAATATGTAAACACTGCATATTTACATGGTGTCACCACTAACACTATACAATGGCTTTTCTTGCAAATATCTAATGTCCTTAAGCCTCCTACCATTCCATGACTAACCACTTTCCAGCTATCTTTGCCACTAACACCTTCTAGAATTATTGTTATTGTTATAACTGAAGGGAGAGATGACACATTATCATTTACAGGAAACCAGTAACAAGAGAACTATGAGGACTTCCATTGCTGACCTCCTGAAGAAAGCACTAGATTTCTGGTGGACTCTCACTTCAATACCTTTTAAGTAACTGACCCAGAAGAAGTATGCCGATTAGAAAATCAGTAATATGCTTGTTCTGATCAGCTCAGAAAATACTCAAGCCACTAAATCAACTATAAGTGCCTTGAAAAAGTATTCATACCCCTTGAAATTTTCCACATTTTGTCATGTTACAACCTCAAACGTAAATGTATTTTATTGGGATTTTTATGTGATAGACCAACACAAAGTGGCACATAATTGTGAAGTGGGAGGAAAGTGATGTGTTTTTCAAAATTCAGAAATAAATATCTGAAAAGTGTGACTTGCATTTGTATTCAGCCCCCTTTACTCTGATACCCCTAACTAAAATCTAGTGGAACCAATTGCCTTCAGAAGTCAACTAATTAGTAAACAGAGTCCACCTGTGTGTAATTTAAGTATAAATACAGCTGTTCTGTGAAGCCCTCAGAGGTTTGTTAGAGAACATTAGTGAACAAGCAGCATCATGAAGGCCAAGGAACACTCCAGACAGGTCAATGATTAAGTTGTGGATAATTTCAAAGCAGGGTTAGGTTATGAAAAAATATCCCAAGCTTTGAACATCTCAAGGAGCACTGTTCAATCCACCATCCGAGAATGGAAAGAGCATGGCACAACTGTAAACCTAAACTGACGTCTGGGCAAGGAGAGCATTAATCAGAGAAGGAGTCAAGATACACAGCTCAGATGGGAGAATCTGTCCACAGGACAACTGTTAGTCCTGCACTCCACAAAATCTGGCCTTTATGGAAGAATGGCAAGAAAAAGTCCCATTTGCAGTTTGCGAGAGGCCATGTGGGGGACACAGCAAACATGTGGAAGAAGGTGCTCTGGTCAGATGAGACAAAAATTTAACTTTTTTGCCTAAAAGCAGAATGCTATGTGTGGTGGAAAACTAACACCGTGAAATGTTGTGGCAGCATCATCATGTGGTGGGGATGCTTTTTTTCAGCAGGGACAGAGAAGCTGGTCAGAGTTTATGGGAAGATGGATGAAGCCAAATAGAGGGCGATCTTAGAAGAAAACCTGTTAGAGTCTGCAAAAGACTTGAGATTGAGATGGAGGTTTACCTTCCAGCAGGACAACGACCCTAAACATACAGCCAGACCTTCAACGGAATGGTTTAGATCAAAGCATATTCATGTGTTAGAATGGCCCAGTCAAAGTCCAGACCTAAATCCAATTGAGAATCTGTGGCAAGACTTGAAAATTGCTGTTCACAGATGCTCTCCATCCAATCTGACAGAGCTTGAGCTATTTTCCAAAGAAGAATTGGCAAACATTTCACTCTCTAGATGTGCAAAGCTGGTAGAGACATCCCCAAAAAGACTTGCAGCTGTAATTGCAGCGAAAGGTGGTTCTACAAAGTATTGACTCCGGGGGGCTGAATGCAAACATCTGCCACACTTTTCACATATTTATTTGTAAAAAAATTTGAAAACCATTTTCATATAATTTTCCTTCCACTTCACAATTATGTGCCACTTTGTGTTGGTCTATCACATAAAATCCCAATAAAATACATTTACATTTTTGGTTGTAACATGACAAAATGAGGAACATTTCAAGGGGTATGAATACTTTTTCAAAGCTCTATATATAGTCAAGCAACTAGCATTTCTGCTCAAGAGAGGTCAGTGAAGACAGCCTACGTATTTGTGTCCCTTGCATATGGACACAGACTGAAGATAGGCTACCAGATGCTACCAGTGTCTTGAAAGTGAAAAAGTTAATGCTTGCTAGTTTCAAGGATTGGAGAAAAGTAAGAATGGTTACAAAGTTTATATTAGGTAATAAAGTTCCCAATGGCAATTAAAACAAGCAAACATGTTTAGCTAAGAGCACGTGTATAGAAGATATCTTGTAGTGCAGTGTCCATGCACTGTACTTCACCTATGCTTCTTTAGCAATTGTGATTGCATTGGAACCTTGGTATTATTGACTGTGGTTGGTTAAGTATACATGCTGCTTGGGTGTATTAGGAACAATGCTCAAAGTATCATGCTAGAATTACTGGAGGGTTTAGCGCATACCTGAAGGTCAATGATGCCAAGTATGGGATCAGCAGCAGTGAATTCTATATAAGCTGTACCAGATGTCAATTTGTTTGCGCTCCTGTTCCCCTGATGACGCTGTTTTACAGCAAAATGCAATATTACTACGCCCTCTGGGTGGATGCCTATGAGGCACTACTATTTATTTGTTGCATGCTGTATCTGTTTTTACCTCTGTAAGTAAATGTCTTTTTATATAATAAACTTTTTGACATTTTTACTCTGACATGTGACATACTCTGACATGTGACATACTTTGACATGTGTTGCCTCTGTTCCCCTCTATTAGTATGAATGATGTCTGGTACAATCTTGAAGCCTGAAGTTGGGGAATTAATTTTCACCATGGATGGATACCTAGATGGTCATTGATGAACATGCGTGTTTTATCTCTTTTATAGGAATCCATTTCATTTGGTAAGAGGCTTTTGTTGTCTGTGGTGGAGAGCACACAGTGTTTGGATGGCTTTTCAAGATACTTACATTGGATCCGTGGATGGCTGAATGTTTCACTGACTCTTTGAAATGTATTTTTTTAACTCTTTGTTGTTTCATGAACTGTGCTGAAGAGCATCACACCACAGAAATCTGTCTTTTCACATAATCTGTTTCTTTGGACTTTATTTGGATTGATGCACATACCAAATACCTATTACATGTGTATGTACAGTATCTAACATTAAGTATTTTGATGTTTTATAGGTGCATCTCTCTACACAAAAATATTTTTTCTTTCTTTATCAAGCATAGGATAGATGGCAGGGCCAACCAAAAAACTAAACCATAGTTAACTGTTTTCTTTTCAAATGTAACAGTTCTCAGTTTAATAAACATATATCTTTTTGCTCTGTGTCTGAGTCTGTTCTCCTTTTCACACACTGCTAAAAAGCT